AATGGTGGTAGTAGTGGTCCGTCTTGGAGGAGGAGGAAGAACTGGCGATAATGATGATGATGATGGTGTTTGTGGTTGGAATAGTGGTAGTAGTGTCAGTCTTGTAGGAGGAGGAAGAGGTGGCAATAATGATGATGATGATGGTGGTGTTGGTGGTTGGAATGGTGGTAGTAGTGGTCCATCTTGCTGGAGGAGAAAGAACTGGCGATGATGATAATGATGATGATGATGATGGTGTTGGTGGTAGGAATGCTGGTAGTGGTGGTTCCACGAGGTCGAAGAGGAAGGGGTGACAATAATGATGATGTTGATGGCAATGATTAACAATAGTAAACAAAATAACTATCTCTTTCTTGACGATGAATTTCGTCTTGATCATTTGTTGATAAATCTCCTCAGTTTAAGAGAGCGAGTTTCATAATTTTTGGTCATAGTTCTTGGAACGCAGGATTTCAATCGATTTTCCTACAAATTTGCAGATTGTTGACCATTATCTCATCTCAAAAACCTCAAAAATCTCAGCTTTTTTGATATCTTGTCTCGTTTTAAAGTTATTGAATAATTTATGCTAAAAGAAGTAAAAATCACGTTGACTTTGGAAACAAATAATCCGCAACCAACGCGTTCATCGAAAATCTGAAACCTTCAGTGCACCCACTCTCTGTAAAATGTCATATAATCACATCTTGACTAGTTGGAAAGACATCATTTTAAGTATATGCAATCACATGAACCTTTTATTCCACCACATTCGACCCTATTCTCTAACTTATAAAAACAGCGAATGACTACAAAATGTAATTAATCCAATTTGAAACCGAGAAAAATGCATAATTGTCTGTAGAAAAAGAATTACCTGGCAGCATCTATAACTCCCTCATCATAAAGTCGATCTAAAAACGTATTCCATCTTAGAAAGATTGTATAATAACCTTTGATAGCCTAGCTTAGTCTGATTTGTCACGTAGTCTCCTTTTTTTAAATTTTCTTTTACAAAATGGATAACAATAATGCGAGAATCAGATTATGTTTTCATTTTGTGGCAAAAATTGGCTCAGTCAATAGTCAAAAACGGAGGTTAGGGAAGCACCAAAAATAGTGGTCGTGCCATTCTGGTCAGAACACAAATAGTACCCTCAAAAATAGTTCTAAGGCATATTTTTCTTTCTCCTTTCAGTCATTACTTTTATCTCTCCCACCAAAGGGGACACCTGCATAATATGAAGGACTCAAGGGGAATAAGATGAATCTTTAAGTACTCGTCTTCCTAAGTTTCTAGTATTTTGCAAGAGTTAAGGTTTTTATTTTGCTTCCGTTGGCGTAATAGTATAGATAAAGTGATAAAGATAATCTATAAATTGAACTAAAGATTAAGCTCTTGAGGCAAAGAGGAAAAAGATCAATAAAATAAAGTAGAGCAGTTAAATAACTTAAACTCAGTTCAAGCTCTTGGTAAAAATAAGTTTTCCGGCTTTTTTAATCTGCTTACTCGTTTTCTTGCGGAAAGTTAGCGAATGAAATGATGATAAAAAATTGTATTTTCCTTCAATTTTAGGGATTAACTCTTTGAGTAACATTGCAATACCGCCGAATATACAACGGGTTTCCTAAATTGACTGTATTTTCAGTGGCGTGGAATAAATGAAACTCTCAAAAGAACTGCTTGTGCCCATTGCTGTTAATAATTTGACGAAAAGAAGAGGTGTCGTTGCCGAATAGGTGGGGCATGAGAACACGATCAGCAGCACTGAGTGGCACAGTGAAGCGGGCATGCGTTCAAAATCAGGGTGCACCAGCTGATCGCCTTTGTTGTGGGGAAAATTCATATGAAACGGAAAAAGAATTGCTCATTGAAAAAAAAAATTACAAAAGGAAGTATAAAACGATCGTGAGAATGGTCTCACTCTAGCTTTGCTTTACTTTTTGGTGGTCAATGTTTACTGGCTAAAAATTTATAAGAAATAGAAAAAGAATTGTACATTGAAAAAAACAAAACAAAAAAACTTAGAAACGAAGTATAAAACGATCGTGAGATTGGTCTTACTCTAGCTTTGCTTTACTTTTTGGCGGTCAATGTTTACTGGCCAAAAATTCATAAGAAATGAAAAAAGGTTGCACATTGAAAAAAAGTTTTAAAACGAAGTATAAGACGAAAGCGAGATTGGTCTTACTCTAGCTTTGCTCTACTTTTTGGCGATCACTTTTTACTGGCCAAAAACATGCAAACATGAATGGTGTAACTAAAGTTTTGACTTTAACTCTAGTTAGTACTCTAAGGACTTTGCACTTAAAATATGTAAAGCGAAAAACGTAACGGTAATTTGGCACTAACGTTGATCAAAATAGAGAAGGCAATGCTAAGAGTTGAGAGCTGAAAGATGCGCGAAAAAAGAAAGAAAATGAGCAATTTAAAAACCGTTCCCTCTCTTGTTTACGAGTTAATACTAAGCCACATATGATGGCCGACTAAACACAAAAATCCTAAATATATCTTGCCTTTTTAAATTTTTTCCGATTCGGTATTCTAAAAATCGTGCGTTCTGATTGGCTGTTGGTGCAAGAGGTATTTTCTGGTGACAATTCTGCCCGGCTACTTACGTCAATCGAGCTCATGCGCATGGGATAACGGATTGCTAAACAGTAAAACAATTGTAAAACAAGTAGAAAAGTAAATGGGAAAAAAGTTCTTTACCGTCCAAAAGTTGGTCCGGCTAGGGAACAATGTGTTATATGCAAGACATCAGGCACAGCCAGTTTTTCCCTATTCGGACCTTCTCTAAGGAGGTTAAGCTCTATTTATTATCAATAACCCCTCAGTAACTAAAAAAAAATTCGGAGCTTTTTATGAAGAAGAAGATGACAAAAATATTTGAAATCATCGCAAAATCTTTATCGGAGAAATCAGTGTGCAGTGAGTTGTATCTAAAATATCACAACTTTCAATAATTTCGCTAGATTACCGAATTCTTCGTTTGCAATAGACGCCATAGCCGCCATGTTGGAAGAATTTGACAAAAGATTTTTCAATGAATTCTTTTGTTATATCTTCCAACATGGCAGACATCCCTTTTGTTATTGTGCTCTCTTGGGATCGATTGCAAACCAAGAATATTTTAGAATGATCCCACGGTATGTAGGTCAAGCAAGTTTGATGACAATATTTATCAATAAAACAATGTGATAGGGTTAAGATAGATGAACCAATGTTTGCTGATAAACGAATGACAAGGAAAACATATGAGGAAGCGTAAGATAATTAGGCGATACAAATGATTTACCAAAACAAAATGTTTCATTTTGAGTGTTAGTACTAATGTTTTTTTTATAATATGCTATGATACTAGTAAAATTGACGCTGCTTTTTGTGGTATGTCCTTTTATTTGCTACGATATGACGTCAACAGTTCGTCAAAATGTTATGTACACGAGGCGTGGCCTAGTGCGTACATAACTAATTTTGCCGACAAATTGTTGAAGTCATATCGTAAAAAAACATAAATTTGTGGTTTTTTTACTACAAGAAAGAAAAACGAAAAACAAACAAACTGAAGGCAAAAGTTTGAAAGAAAAACGTAATTTGTTGGTATCTTCTCTTATTTACAACGGCTCTCGACCAATCAGAAAGCGAGACAATTGACATTTGTAGTAAAGGTGTGTAGTCTACTAAAACCAAGGTAAAGTATCGATTTATTTTAGAAACCAGTTATAGATAGCGCTGCAAATCAAGACGAAATCATGGACACTCAGATTGCTCCGAATTCGTTATTCAATGAATCAGATTCGATAACTTCAAACATATACTTATCTCAAACGTTAGGAAGTATTATCAAATCTAAGATAAAGACTGACTTTAGCTTGTTAAAGTCTGGTAGTGGTATCTGTTATTGTATGAGACACAAACCTTCACAGAAGGTTACGAAAAATGTTGGTTTACATAAATGTTTTTTTAAGAGATGCTCTATGGAATTCGAAATTCCTTTACTAATGTAATCCTAAGGAAGTTCGATCTTGATTACAAGGTATTGCGACTAAACTAAATACTTGGCACAAAACACTCGCGATGGATGTATGTACTATGATGTATAGATCTACTCATGATAAACTAACCTAACTAGCGAATATTATTCGGAGCAGTCATAAATGCGTAGCTATAAACACTCTGCTCAAAGCATTCGAGATGGATGGATTATTGAAATTGGTCAACTAACATTCTATATATACTCTAACCTAACTATATAGTAGTACGATATCTTAGTATTCGAGATGTATGTCAGTACAAACTAACTAGGATTCTATAATATATGCAATAATCAGTTAAGGAAATGTGAAAATTGTTGATCACAACGTACATTTTTGCATATCTCATACACTACCTATATATTTTATGAAAGCAAACAAAAAATCCTTAATTTTCTATAAATTCCAATAAATGAAGCGTAGAAGTGCGAACCACATAACCTTTTTTTGAGTCAACACCATCGCCTGATAAAGACCGTAACAGATTGCAGTCGAAACTTCACAATCTTTCTGACCCTCAATCGTGAGACAAATGAATAAGTATCATTTATTATGGTATCCTTCTCTGATAGTTCGAAAAACTGAATCATACCTTGTATTCCTGTGACGGTCTTCCCAAGGCGTCCGCTGTTGTATGACTGAAGCTGACAAGTTGCACGCACCCAAATACAGTGAACAAGTTGTTTAGACATCGTTAATTCTTGTTGCATCTTATAGCTTCGTTTTGTTTAGATTAGCAGCTCCAACTGACGCACAATACTAGGACGTAGATTATAAGTGCACTCCATGGGTACGATCTGAAATAATGACAGAAATGGAAGACACATAACTTCTTAGTTTGTCTTACGATGGCATCAGGGGGTATCCAGGATTTCCCCTGGGGGAGTGGTCTATCCCATTAACTAATAAAATAGACCCTCCTTCCCAAGATACTTGCAATATAAAATAATTCAACTGCCAAAGAAAGGGGGGATCACATGAAGGCATCTTATCCCCCCCCCTCCCCCTTCCCTCATTTGTTGTGTCGCGTCGAATCAGAGGTAATATTAGTCCTATCATGAGCCTAGTCTATCAAACATTTTGTTTAGGTTAACCCTTTTGGGATAGACAGTCCACCCCTCCCCCTTCCCTCATTTGTTGTGTCGCGTCGAATCAGAGGTAATATTAGAGTCCTATTATTAGCCTAGGTTATCAAACATTTTGTTTAGGTTAACCCTTTTGGGATAGACAGATTATAGATAGAAAGTACAAGAACGTTCTATAGTTTTTATCAAGAAGTTTATCGAACAACAACAGCTCTTGTTTTCGATGACAAGAACAAACGATAAGATAAACTGAGCCTGTCATTTATGCTTGACAATCAGATAAAATGTTTAACAGCATTAACTTCATGAAGGAGGCCATTAAGGGACAAAACATGCTTCGAGATCAAACATTTCAAATATATTGCTATTAATTAATGAATACTGAATATTTTGAATGTTTGAACGGACACATCAAAAGAATATTGCTGTTGTAGACCTCATGCCAAAAGATAAACGCCTATTTTGATAAGATGACATAAGGTCAAAACGTTTAACAGTAATCGATTGCCCGATTTTCTTATATAAAACTATTCGTCCCTTCAAGAGCCATGCAGTTTATCTAAATTTATTTTATTTTGTCCAGTCAATCATATTTCCGTTTATTTCTATTTTTATCTATAGAGGGCTATATCATACTATTAATAGCATTCATTCTCACCAAACATGCATAAGTGGCCAAAAATAACTCCTCATATCAAACCTCAATAGAAATTGAAACGAAAATAACGACAAATCGGTCGCATTCAACGAATTGCGCAATTAGGTTAACTTATTGCGCAATTCTTTGTATGGGGCCTTCATTATTTTCACTCATGATTTCAAGTGCTTCACCACGAAATGCTTGGTTGAACATATCCTCTTGAACATATCCTCAGATAATTTGGTTAATAGTATGGCTAGCGCTCGTAATCTTATTACAGTTAACTGACATTCGGCCAAAAATGTATTAGTTAACTGAAAATTGGGTACCCTCTTTGGCACCTTCGTCTGTCATATATATTGCCTTGACAAATAGTCAACTAATCTCCAATTGTGTTTTAATTTCATTTTGATTCGAGTGAATCCCTAGTACTGCATAAATAGATATATTAAGATCTCTTAGCACTTGTCGTACGGGTGGCAATATGGCTGGTACTTCAGTTAAAGTATTTAGAAACCCGCTACAGTGAGAAATAATTAGGGAACAATCCCATAAAAGCTCTTTGTTTGAACATCAATGTTGAAGGCAGGCAGGATATTTTTGGCTTGTCCTTTTTGAGCTGTTGAAGTCCTAAAGACTTTAGAAACCCGCTACAGTGAGAAAAAATTAGGCCAATAATCCTCAAAAAGCTATTGTTTGAACATAATGTTAAAGGAAGGTAGGATTTTTTTGCTTGTCCTTTTTGAGCTGTTGAAGTCCTAAAGACTTTAGAAACCTGCTACAGTGAGAAAAAATTAGGCCAATAATCCTCAAAAAGCTATTGTTTGAACATAATGTTAAAAGAAGGTAGGATTTTTTTGCTTGTCGTTTTTGAGCTGTTTAAGTTCTCTCGGTTCAGGCATACTTTTTGAACTATATGCAATGTTTAATATAAAGATAAATCGTAGGTAAACTAGTATATCTGGAAGAAATTGTTGTTTTTAAAGGTGTTTTAGTGGAAAGTTGAATAAAGCGTGTGTTAGCAGGTGGATTGATATAATAGATCAGAAAAAGTAATTCGTAAATGGAAAAATGAAAAGAGAGAAATAAGGAGGATCCGTAAAAAAAAGCATGTTAAAAGATACCGTAGGTGCTTTTAAAGCCAATGAAAACCCGACCATCAATGGTCTTCAGGAATTACAGGATATTTATTTGGTATAGCGATGCGCTTTTTTAGGACGATCATGGTAATCTTACAATGCTTACTTAATGGTATTTTTGGGGCCTGTAGTGTTTGCTCTTTCTATTACATTCATTGTTATCAGGCACGTGCTTCAGGGAAGGAAGAAAGACAAGATGAAATAAGCAGATGAAACAACCCAAAGCAAAGGAAGTTAAATATTTCAAAGCAAACTCACAAGAGCCAGCTTACAATTCCTGGAGAACTGAAGAAGACTCTTAATGATACTGAAGTTGATGAACCTCGAATTTGTAAAACTTTTTATTGTTTGTTCATTTTGTAACAAGTTTCTGCAGTCCGAAGATTTATCGGATTAGTTCCCTTTTGACGCTCACCTTAATTGGAAAATCTAAAGAAACCAAACTGTGAGACCATTTATGTCGATGGGATTTAAGCAATTTTCAGTTGAGTGAAACTTGTCTTCTAAACTTACTATTAATCATTTGATTATTAGAAAGCAATTGAGAAATGTTTAAGTTTCAATTTAGCTAGCTTATAGGTAAATTTTACTTTTGTTTCATTAGTTTGCAAAATGAATTCCAATCAAAACCTTTTTTAAAGACATTGCCAGTAAAATGTCGCTATGTTAAATCTCAGTTCAAATCCTGTGACTACCATGCTTAAAGCAAAAAGGCCATTCGAGTGTTCTCTCAGAACTGTGCGAGTAAGACAAAGCCGTTCAAGACAAGACTTTAACGCAAACAAAGCCATAGAGTATTTGACATGTGTTTATTCAGTCTTTGGATAATGGATCTATTCAATGTTCGTTAGTTTGGAGAAAGGATTACAAGAACCTAGCGAGTTAGTTGAGAGAACAGATGTCCTGCTAGAAGCGCGCCGATTCGGTATTTTAACGGTAGAACTCAAGGACAACCAAAGACAACACTGAACAAAAAAAATATCTACTTTGGAGTTGTTAAGAAGCGTGCTTTTCGTCCACGATAAAAAGAGATTTACGTCGCCAATTGCAAGGTGCTCAATGATAAAAACCCTTTATATGGAGCTACATAGAATATAGTTTAAAAAAAGCTATTCTACAGATATACAACCTAAACGAAAAAGATGTCAGAAAGTTTTGAATAGCACGCATCTAAAACGCAATTTTATAAACAAATATACATTTATTTAAAAACTAAGAAACTACACCTTTTGCTGTTCATTAACCGCAAAGGAATATTCATTCAAGCGAAAAAGCATTATCATTAGCGCGAAGAGGCACACAATAACGCGAACGGAGTTTCAAGAGCGCGATGGAAC